CAAACGATTGCAAACTCTTGGAGCGACTCAAGTCATTGCCGGCACACGACGTGTCATTGGCTTTCAATTGAGACAATTTGTTGCGATAATACCTGTCGATGTCCTCCACATTAGTCCAGTTGGCGGCTCTCAACTCAATCACTTCCAGTATCAATGCGCGCGATATAGCATTCAGTTTGAAGTTTCTCAAGACATTCCTCAGGAGATTGAAATACACGTCCAGTTGTTGTCTGAAAGACTCGTCTTCTTCAAGATGACGCGCTTTCCATTTAATCCAATGACAGATCTTTTCGATCAAATCATTGCAATTCATTTCATTGCAATTGTCTTCGTTTACAAACGCTTCCAACTCTTCCAACAGTTTGATAACCACTGCAAAGACACCGAAACCGAGTTAAATATGAGACCAGTTGTGGCATCAGTTTGTCCTCACCTTCTCTCTGTTGGTCTTCACTCAAGACTAGTCTATCACATGAATAATCACCGGAAATGTTGTGATCGTTGGAAGTGTTCAGTGATTGCATCGGACGGACAAACACTTCAATCGCTGCGGAAGTCATGCTCTCTAATGATAAGCAAAAGACAAATGAAATGTTTGATTCAAAAAAGCTTTCATTTGTAAACAAAACTATTGATAATGAATGGCATCTAATGGACACAAATGAGACAATTGTGTGGAAGTGATGAAGTGATGGACAAAGAGATGTGAATAGAGAGCAGACTTACAGACGACTGAATGAGCGGTGAATGCAATGCAAGTGATAGTGATTTGACGTCAATTTCAAACCAATTGTAACGAAGCTTTCATTGAAAGCATTTGTCGATCGATTGGTCCATAACTGCAAACCATTGGTTCACTCACTGGACGTCACTCTGTGTCTCATTGTGTGAAACACTGCACGCAATGAGCAATCGGTCCCCAAATGAGTGAATTGAGTGTTTGTTTGCTTTATTTCAATACGTTTTGTATAGACTTGTGATTGCATTGACTTGTGATTGCATTCAATGTCTTATATGTCATACCATTTGACGTATCATTGAATCACTTGTTTGTCAGCATATTGTCGTTTCTGAAGCATTAGTCACACCATGGCTTACCTCAAGAGCAATGGAC